TGGATCATTAGTATTCTATATTTAAAGCTACAATAAAATTAAATCACTTAGTCTAGTGATTAATTTGTACTACTTAAATAGGTGATTATTAAAGAAAGACAACTCTTACTTCTAACCTTTATGGACATTATGTTACTTGAATCAGTGATTTTGAAAACCACTCATTTAAGTAAGTCCCCTGACTGACTACAATCAGCTGTTTTAATATATTAAAATGTTTATTCAAACGCAATCAAATATTGTTTTGTCTACATACGATCAAATATAATTTTCTGAATTTAAAAGTCAATAATTTATTCATGTTTATTTTAATAATATTTTTGATAAATAAAATTTATAATATTTATTATAAAGCAACAGAATAAGGAAAGGAAATGAGGTACTGGGTTGTCTTGGTCCCAAAATATCTCCTACAGTGCCAAACTGTCGATTACACATGGAGCCGATTCGTTTCCGTGCTGGTGCCAAACTGTCTTGTTACTACCTTATCTACAAAGCAGTAAGACCGGATTCGAGATAGTATGCGATAGTATGCGTTTTATCTGTTAATAAACTGCTTCGCTGAGCGCAGCTGGATACGCCCGCAGAGGTCAAACCCTGAACAGTTGGGGCAAAAATGGACACAATATTCAAGCTTGATACAGGTCTGAATTTGGACTGTAATTTAATATTTGACATATAGGTTTCTGAATAAATGTAGTCAAAGAACTTGAAATTGGTTATATGAATTGAATTTATATTCAATTCAAGATTTCTTGCTGTTGTGCAATACACTGTGCCGTTGCGCAATACTTAGTAAATCTGTTGTCAGACTATAAACAAATAAAGTTCAATTAATTCTCAATGTCATATTAGAAATTTATAAAAATGAAAAGGGAGCTTACATCAATAGATATAAACAATTCACCAAAGTTTCATGAGAATTGCTGATAGCATTTTTGAGTTATTGTCCGAAAACTGGAAAACCCTCCCTTTTTTAATGAATAAAACCCCATAACTCAGAAATGATAAATGAAAAATTTATAAAATTCTAAATGGAGCTTACATCAATAGATATATAAACATTTCACCAAAGTTTCATAAGAACTGCTGAAAGCATTTTTGATTTTTTGTCCGAAAACTGGAAAAAATACCCCTTTTTTTATGAATAAAACCCTGTAACTCTGAAACGTCATATCTAAAATTTATAAAAAACGAAAGGGAGCTCATGTCAATAGATATAAACAATACACCACAATTTCTTGCAAGTTGGTGAAAGTATTCTTGAGTTATTGTCCGAAAACTGGAAAATCCCCCTTTTTTTAATGAATAAAACCCCATAATTGGAAACATAAAATCTAAAATTTATAAAAATCAACAGGGAGCTCATGTCAATAGATATAAACAATTCACCACAATTTCTTGCAAGTTGGTGAAAGCATTCTTGAGTTATTGTCCGAAAACTGGAAAATCCCCCTTTTTTTAATGAATAAAACCCCATAACTCGGAAACGTAAAATCTAAAATTTATAAAAAACGAAAGGGAGCTCACGTCAATAGATATAAACAATTCACCAAAGTTCTATGCAAATTGGTTAAATCGTTTTTGAGTTAATGTCCGACATGTTGACGACGGACGGACAGACGGACAGACGGACGGACAGACAGACGGACGGACGGACAGACAACGGTATACCATAATACGTCCCGTAAACGGGCGTATAAAAAGTATCTGACAAAGAACCAGTATTAAATTATTGGTTGCAAGTAAACGTGTCAAATTAATAATTGCTTTTATCTTCTTTTATTTTTTTTTGTAATTACTTTTATCGTCAAAGTTGGATTTAATATTTTTTTCTACAGAATGATTTAACTTGTCCCGTCAGACAAGCTTCATATAGCTTTTACTTGTCCGACCTTTTTTTCCTCTGGTACCGGACAATCGACACACATTATTGTTGGGCCCAGCAGTGGTTAAAGGAGATGATTTTTGTAAAAAATAATGGATGACTGATGCTAAGTGATGAAAATAGCTTACTTGACCAAACCAGTCAGGTGAGCAAATAATGTGGGACAATCGTGAAGATGATTCATAGACAATTCAGAAGTTTAATGTTGAGCAATCAGGAGTTGTTTTGATAGTATTTTAATTGTGAAACAGCACATTTTGTGAGACATAACATATTTTTGCACACTTACAAACTTTCAAACTTACCTTTCACATCTTCCCATATTTGACTAAGAAAGTCCTTGAACTTCACAGAGAATTGTCTAGGCTAACTGCATGTCCTATGGATATATGTCAATCTGAAATAAGAACAGAATATTGGCCTAAACCTCATGCTGAAAATGTTTATCCTCCATAGCTTTTTTTTTACATATGAACTGCTTGAAAGCACAATTTAAAATGGTGATTTGCACCTAAATGGGTGGACATTGAATCAACTCCTATAAAATTTTGTCTATGAAATTAGACCAGAGATATGATTCTCACCTAAATAGGTGGATATTGGATCAATTTCTATGAAATTATGTCTAGAAAAGGAACGAAGTTGAAAATAGATATAATATATCATTCAGTACAAATTATCATTCTCAAGCAGAAAACTTCAAAAAGTATTCAGGAAATACTTGCATCTTATTAAAAAAAATTCTACAATAGGTGCCAAATTCCATAAAACCTATCAATGGGATTAAAAAAAAATAGAAACATTGGTGAATAAGTGAAACAAAGCTATAAAATAATTTATATAAACCTCACAGTTCCTACTAACATTTAACTGTGCAGAACTAATTAATGACCATCATGTAAACAACACATGTAAACTGATATTCTTAAGACCACACTTCCTTACTATGAAACACTTAATTCAAAATTGGTTAGAATTGTTTGAAAAACAAAAAATTAAAATGCAAATTCTAATTAACAAATTAAAAAAAACAATTCAAAAACTATTTAAAAAATCAAAAATTAAAACTGTAATAAATTAAAAAAAAAATAAATGAAAAGAAATAAAAGTAAAACAGTAATTAAAAAAGAAGTAAATGAAAAAATGGGGAATGTGTCCATGGGGCACAGATGATGCCCCCACTTGCATATATATCATTTAAAGTTATAAAGGGACATAACTGAAGAACGGTAAAAGTGACGCTACCCAAATTTGTTAATGATCTGAGTTTTGTAGTAATAAGTATTGTGTATAAGTTTCATAACATTTGGTTGAGGCAAACTTAAGTTAGAGTACGGAAACGAAAAATTCAGCAATTTTTCCATTTGTAAAGAGCATAACTCTAGAACGGTTAAAGTGACGCCACCAAAATTCAAACTTGATCTGTGTTTAGTGGTAATAAGCATTGTGTATAAGTTTCATAACATTTGGTTGAGGCTAACTTAAGTTAGAGAACGGAAACGAAAAATTCAGCAATTTTTCCATTTGTAAAGGGCATAACTCTATAACGGTTAAAGTGACGCCACCAAAATTCAAACTTGATCTGTATTCTGTAGTAATAAGTATTGTGTATAAGTTTCGTAACATTTGGTTGAGGCAAACTAAAGTTAGAGAACGGAAACCAACTTTGGGACATACTACGGACAAGGGTAAAACTTAATGCCTCCTCCGCTACGGCAGGGGCATAAAAACAAAAATTTGTAAGGGTTCCGCGGAACCCAGTGTCTCGCTTACTTTTGCTGTTAATCGCAGGCTAAACAAAATTGAGGAAAAAAATCAATAAAAATATTCCTTTAGATACTATCTTTTGATTGTAAGAACTTCTGTCAAAGCTTGGTATAAATCCAGGATAGTTTATGAATCTAATAAATGTTTTAAAAACTTTAACTGCAGACTGTATTTAATGTTAACTGGAAGAAAACTAAGTCCATTTATAAATAAAATACAGATAAACAGGTACAAAATTTTAACAAAATTTCCTTCTAGATACTAGATATTGATCATAAACAAGCTTCTGTCCAAGTTTGGTACAAATCCAGGATTTAAAAATTAGTTTAAGAAAGTTATTAAAATTTTAAAAACTTTAACCACAGAGTGAATGTATTGTTTCCTGGCAGAAAAACTAAGTCCATTTATAAGTAAAATACGGAAAAAATAAAAAACATTTTTTAACAAATTTACTTCTGGATACTATCTTATGATCATAAACAAGCTTCTGTCCAAGTTTGGTACAAATCCAGAATAGTTTAAGAAAGTTATTAAAATTTTAAAAACTTTAACCACAGAGTGAATGTATTGTTTCCTGGCAGAAAAACTAAGTCCATTTATAAGTAAAATACAGAAAAAATGAAATTTTTTTTTTTAACAAATTTACTTCTGGATACTATCTTATGATCATAAACAAGCTTCTGTCCAAGTTTGGTACAAATCCAGAATAGTTTAAGAAAGTTATTAAAATTTTAAAAACTTTAACCACAGAGTGAATGTAATGTTTCCCGGCAGAAAAACTAAGTCCATTTACAAGTAAAATACGGAAAAACAGGAATTTTATTTTTACAAAATTTACTTCTGGATACTATCTTATGATCATAAACAAGCTTCTGTCCAAGTTTGGTAGAAATCCAGGATAGTTTAAGAAAGTTATTAAAATTTCAAAAACTTTAACCACAGAGTGAATATTTGTGGACGCCGCCGCCGACGAATACGCCGACGGAATGTAGGATCGCTATGTCTCGCTTTTTCGACTAAAGTCGAAGGCTCGACAAAAAAACAAAAGGGATGGTTTCTGATGAAGGTTTTCCGAAATAACCCGGAATATTGCATTAATGTACATGATGTAAGGCCAGACATATGATTCCCACCTAAACATGCTAAATGGGTGGATATTGGATCAATTTCTATGAAAATTATTACAACTAGGAATGTCTAAAAAACTGAATTATAGCAAAATTTGTTTTGAAACAAGAGGCTTTGTATCACTCACCTGATGAACAAAACACCAGTTTACTAGGACTTTTAAATGCACAAACTATACAGCTGTATATAATATATATATATAGGTACTGTTTGTGTTCAGAGCTCCAGATAAGCTGCGTATTTGCGTGATCACGCAATACAAATGATTAAAAACCCAATGCAATTGCCCATTGCAGGGTTCAATAACCCAATTAATTCAAAGGAAAACCCAATTATATGCCAAAACCATGAGTTCTTAACGCTTTTATTCGCTATCGTTTGCGTTATTTACCCTTATCTAATTACAATCGTCGCGTAAATCTATTTTTATAATATTTACAATTGGAAATTTCCTTTCGTTCTATAAATAGAGCCCTGCATCAAGTAGCTGAAATGGGTCCCTGTTGGAATTTTCCGTTGCTCAAAAGGTACACGTGTTTATGAAAACATTTCGATCTTCTCGGCGTTTATCCAATTAGCGTTTTTTTCGAATTGCTCGGGACTTATCGTAACATACAATGAATTAAAACGAAAGTAAATGTCCGGTAAAAATATTGAATAGAAGCATGTTTTCAGCTTCTTTTTGATAGATGAGGACAAGTTATGGTGATAACAAGACTCAGCTAGTGTTTTATGAAGCGTCCGTCGAACGCACGGGCGTGTTGGCGTACCTTAACGAGAACATTGCTAGAACGATAAACACGGGGTTTCTTCAAGAACGAAATGAGTTGGAAAAAGTGAAAGGCCAAATTAATTATGACATGTTATATAGTTGGAAAGCATCGGAAACCAAAAGTTCTAATAAGGGACAACTTAACCCAGATTTATGTTAATTAAATTAAACAAAAACATTCAGGTATAATTTTAGTTTATATATTATTTTTTCATTTTTAGATGATGAGTGAATACACATATCCGTTTTTTTACGTCAATGCAGCTTGACACTTTCTTTATTTTGGTCTAATTGTTCTGTATGCTTAAGATAGCTGTCTTATTGGCAAGTGTTATTTATTTATTTGATGTTGCAGAATTATTTGTAAATTGAAGTTGAATGTGGTGTCCGTAATTAAACCACCCTTTAAACCTGGTCAAGGTTTTGGGGTATATCTTGAATCTGGGAACTACTTATTATTTTTATTAAAAAGTAGATCTGGCAAATAGGTGAAAGGACTGGCAAAACTTTCTTACAGCACCTAAATTTCACATATATTACATAAAAATCTTAACACTAAGCCACACCTACCCCAAATAAACTGTAGGATATCATATAGGATCTAGAAAGGTAATTAGTTACTGTCCAACTAGTGATTGATACCAGCTGCAGTTTATATAAGTTGCGAGAAAATACAAAACTGGCAGAACGTTTAAAACGGGACACAAATCAAACGTACAATTGCTCGTCAGTGAATAAACCAAACAAAACAGCTAGCACATATACAAAGAAAGAAACATATTAAAGATGGAAAAACATCTTGGGTTGATATAATGTGATTATAACATGCCTAAATATTCAATATTGTGTTGATGAAAAAACCCAATACATTAAGGAGCTTGGTGGTGAAAAACCCAATTTGATATTTGCTTAAGGGGTGAATCGGAATTGATAATGCAATTAAAAAACTCTATCACCCAATTACATAAAAAAATGATAGGTAAAAACCCCAATTTGTGAATTCTTATCTGGAGCTCTGTTGTGTTGCTGATCACTTTTGCATTTAACAGGTTTAACCTAACCTATATGTATAAGTTAATAGATATCAAGCCAAACTGTAAAAAAAACAGTAAATATCATCGTTTCAGGGGCAATAACTCCAAAATCAGAAATCAATGTTAAAAATACCATTAAAGAACATACATGACATAGATCTTGTCATGCTGATCATTTTTGCAGACAACACTTTTAACAGGTCTATCTCCTACAGTTTTCAAATGACAGCAAACAAGAATGTGTCCATAGTACATAGACGCCCCACTTGCACTATCATTTTCTATGTTCAGTGGACCGTGAAATTGGGGTCAAAACTCTAATTTGGCATTAAAATTAGAACAATCATATCATAGGGAACATGTGTACTAAGTTTCAAGTTGATTGGACTTCAACTTCATCAAAAACTACCTTGACCAAAAACTTTAACCTGAAAGACCAAAAACTTTAACCTGAAGCGGGACAGACAGACATACGGACGGACAAAGTAACGGATGCACAAACTGAAAAACATAATGCCCATAAATGAGGCATAAAAACTCCTAAAAGTAAGAAAAATAGGTATTTCAGGGGCAATATATAAAAATAAAGTAATCTTTTTATTCCTTGGTGGATAAATCTGTACATCTTGTCAAGCTGATCATTTTTTCTAATTTACACTTGAATTTTAGCAAGCTCCAATAATTTTTAAATTAAGTGGTCATGTTGACTTATTTAAAAATATATGTCTTTTATACATTTGTGCAGTTAAAAGTTGTCTGTACCTATCATAGTTTCTGCAAAAAATAAAAAAATTGGGTAAAATATTCATTCAAGGGAAATAACTGCTTTAAAGGATCAATTAATGATTTAAATAATGTAAGTCCTATTCCCAGATCTTACTTTGCTGAACATATTTATCACTTAAACATGTTAAAGTTTCTCTTTTTCTTTCATTGTTTCTGCAAAAAACATAATTTTAGGTAAAAATAATTTTTCAAGGGCAAAAACTGCTATAAACAGGATAAAGGATCAATAGACTGTTTCGGTCATGTAAGCTTATTCACAGATCTTACTTAGCTGAACATATTTACCACTTAAAGTGTCTCTCAATCTATCATATTTTCTACAAGAAACTCTAAAATCTATTACAATTTTGTCTTTCAAGGGCAATGACTCATATAAGGATCCATACTACTGTTTTGCTGTTTAAAATTTATCTTTATCTGAAATTGTTTTCAATATGACAATCAGTGTTACCAAGAACATAATAAAATGCTCCGCTGGGGTGCAGCTTGATACAACCGCAGAGGTCGAACCCTGAACAGTTGGGGCAAGTATGGACACAACATTCAAGCTTGATACAGCACTGAATTTGGATTGTAATTAAATATTTGACACAGCATAGGTTTCTGACACAGAATGAAAGTGGTCTAAGAACTTAAAAAATTTTAATTTACCTATTCAAACCATATCATTATTATTTGCTTTTATATAAAAATCAGAAATAACCAATTTAAAATGGTAAATTTTAAAGAAAAAAAAGGAAAAAAAAATCCCCCCCCAAATTTTTTGAACCCCCTTATGATTCATCACCCCCAAACTCAATCCCAGCCTTCCCTTTGTGGTATGGTACCTTGCAGCACAATTTCAGAGAGATCCATACACTTGAACACAAGTTATTGTCTGGAAACTAGAAAAATGCTTGTTTTTTGGCCCCTTTTTGGCCCCAAATTCCTAAACCTTTAGGGCAATTACCCCCAAACTCAAACCCAGCTTTCCCTTTGTGATATGGAACCTTGCAGTACAATTTCATAAAGATCCATACACTTACACACAAATTATTGTCCTGAAACTAGAAAAATGTTTGTTTTTTTGCCCTTTTATGGCCCCTAATTACTAAAATTTTGAGGGAATTAACCCCAAATTCAATCCCAGCCTTCCCTTTGTGGTATGGTATCTTGCAGTACAATTTCAGAGAGATCCATACACTTGAACACAAGTTATTGTCTGGAAACTAGAAAAATGCTTTTTTTGGCCCCTTATTCCTAAACTTTTTTGGGCAATTACCCCGAAAATCAATTCCAGCTTTCCCTGTGTGATATGGAACCTTGTAGTACAATTTTATAAAGATCCATACACTTACACACAAGTTATTGTCATGAAACTAGAAAAATGCTTGTTTTTTGCCCCTTTTTGGCCCCTAATCCCTAAAATTTGGAGGCAATTACCCCCAAAATAAATCCCAGCATTCCCTTTGTGATATGGAACCTTGTGGTACAATGTCAGAGAGATCCATACACTAACACACAAGTTATGTCTGGAAGTAACAAAAATGCTTATTTTTGGCCCCTTTTTGGCCCCTAATTCCTTAACTGTTGGTACCATAACCCCCAAAATCAATCCCAACCTTCCTTTTGTGGTATTGAACCTTATGGTAAAATTTCATTCAGATCCATTCACTTTAACTAAAGTTAGAGTGCAAAAACTAATGTGTCTTAGGACGACGACGACGACGCCAACGTCATACCAATATACGACCACAAAATTTTGTTTACGGTCGTATAAAAATTATGGAAACTTATTATTTCAGGGGCAATTACTTCAAATAGGGTTGTCAGATTGGTCTGAAAATTTCAGGGCAGATTAATCTTAAAATGCTAATTGTTTTGACCAAACTATGCAGAGTTTCTTAATTAAAGGACAAGATTAAAATTACAAAATATATGTACTCTATACCCTATTAAAGGATCATTTAGCCTAAGTTTGGTTAAAATTAATTCAGTAGTTTCAGAGGAGAAGATCTTTGAAAAAGTGTACTACTGACAATGAATTAATGAAAAGGGAGGATGATTTGACAAAGGGATGGCAAAAGCTCACATAGACTCTTAGGTCAGGTGAGCTAAATAGTAAATAAAACTTTTGACAAACAGAAAAAAATCATAAGTTGGCTATTATATTTATATTTAAAATAAGGGCTCTGTTATTAAGTGGATTCTAAAAGTTGATTGACATATATATATATATAAATATATATTTGTCCTCTTTCTATAATGATCATGATGATATTAATGCTATAAAATATATGAAATGAAATTCATCTCTAAAACAGTGATCACATAATGTACTGTTCAAATTACAAAGTTTTTTGCTCTATTATACCATTAACCAGTTTCAATTATAATTTTTCAATTTGAGGTTCTAAGTTTTGTATTTTATCTATGAATTCTGTTTTTCACTGAAAATCTCTTGATTATCAAAATTTCTAACTTTGTACATTATTTGGCCTTATAAACTTTTTTTATTCAACATGTTCAAGAGTATAACTTATGAAATTCCTGTCTGACCTAAAAAAAAAAATAATCAGGGTATTTGTCATTTATGTGTTAATGGCTTGATTTATTAAGGTCTAGATAGGGGTTCTGTATATCTTTATTCTTCATATATATAGATTGTTTTTCTTTAATCTTTTGTTAATTTTGTCCATTTATCTCTATTCTTTATATTTCAGCACCTATTATTCTCTAATATTTATTTTGTTTGCCTACTTTTCCCTATTTATTTTTTATACCTTTATTCTGCACATTTTGCCCGTTATTCTCTTTTTTGTAAACCCCATCTAAACCCTCATCTCATCGTCAAAAATATTTTAAAGTGGTACAATGATGATGATGTATGCAAAATTCTTGAATTTTAATTTGTAGGCAAATATCAACTTATGAAATTCAGAAACAAATACTTGATACTTCACATTTAAATCAACAACAAGAATGTGTCCATAGTACAGAGATGCCCCACTGGCACTATCATTTTAAATGCGTGGACCATGAAATTGGGGTAAAAACTGTAATTTGGCATTAAAATAAGAAAAATCATATCATATAGGGAACATCATGTACTAAGCTAGTTTCAATTGGACTTCAACTTCATCAAAATCTACCTTGACCAAAAACTTAAACCTGAAGCTGGACAGATATCATCATTGATAGATGGAGGAATGGACGCATAGATTGAAAAGCATATAATGCCCAAAGGTGGGACATAAAACATAGGCAAATATCCTTAGGTGACAGATTATTAAATTTATCACTAATGCATATACATGTATATCAATCTAAAAAGTTTTTAATTGATATATTAGAATTCTTTAAAAATATAAAACATGTTGAATTTCTGTATGTCTGTGGTATGCAGTGGCAGATCAAGAATTTTCAAAAGGGGCCCACTGACTGCCTAAAAGGGGGGCAGCTCAAATCATTCGTCAGTGATTCCCTAAATAATTAATCAAATATTTTTAAAAAAAGGGGGGCGCCAGGCCCTCTAGCCCCACCCCTTAGTACTCCTCTGGTATGGATATAAAATAAAACTTTTAGGAGACCATACACAAAACAGAAAAGATAACAATTATTGGCATTATAAGTATGAAATACTTACAATAAACTTTTCAAATTCTCTCCCTGTATGTCATTGTGAACATCTAATACTGTGTATTCTAATCCTCAATTCTTATGGTTTCACTTTTATTTACACTAAAAGGCCTACTCCAATTATACTTTATTATGTCCATTGGATCAATGTGGTGAGTATTATATGTATAACATTTACTTGTGTTTTTATGTTTAAGCAAAATACACACAAGTAAATATGGCCTGTTTTAATCCAAAGATCTAGGAAGACATAAAATGAATTTCTCTTTTATCTCATTGGTTACTACAGATTCATATTGATGTCATGACCTGATTACTTGGACATCATAAAATGTGTAGAGGAATATAAAATGTTGAAATTCATCATGAATACACTAGTCTCAGTCTCTTATTTTTATTACTATTTTTATTACTATTGTTTTTGTGGTGTTTTTGTGAAGAACCATGCAGTGGAGGAAAACAGTTCAAAGAAGAAAATGGCAAGTTAATTAATTTCACTTTGAAGTTTAGATACAGTAATATACATGATATAATATAAAAAGATTATGTCTTTCGATTCTCTTTCAAATATTTCTTTAAAAGTTCAACAACAGTGGTTATGAAATTTACACATATCATTCCCTAATTCATGCATATAATGACTGTTCACATATGAATTAAATTCTGTCTTGAAATCACTGGTTCAGGACAGTTTGAAGTGAAACACTTTTATGAATATTTTGTCACACATATATATATATATATGTGTGTACCTTAACTACTCAACTTTAACTAGATGATAATAAATGATCTTATGTATGTTTTTTTAATAGTTCTTTACTAATTTCTATTTTTTTTTAATTCTATATGTTAGCGGCACTAATTATATATATAAGTAAAATAATCTATTAAGCTTAAATCCTAGGCAATAAGCTAACGCCTAGGCATTAGGTTATTGACAATTTTCAGGCATTAGGCTTATTTCCTGAAATCTGCAATGATTATTCAACCTATTGCCAAACATCATTTCAGGCAATTAATGAGCTTTAGGATATTTGATTCATCTTTAAATGACTAGGACTCTTGCGAGCCTGTGTCGTTCACCTTGGTCTATATATGCAATATATTCAACAAAGGACACTCTCCAACATTGTAGACAAGAATAGAATTAATGACAAAAATCTCTGGGTTTTTTTTGTATCTTATATTGCTGATCATTGAAGTCTGTTTAGTTTCTCTCTATCTTCATGATCTTATTTAGCTTTTGCTCAAAACACAAAAGAGTAAAAAAACTCCTATAAAGAGTAACAGTCTACTAATTATATCAGCATAATTTGACTTATTAGTAGTTCGTCTTGCTTATCATTTTGGATTATTTAAGTTTCTATCTATCTATTATTATTTTTTATCATATAGAGCAAAAAAAATGGTAAATATCGTAATTAAAGGGCAATGACTCCCATAAGGAGTCGTCGGACAATTTCCGCCTTTTTGTCTTAACTGTAGATCTTGTCTTGCTGATCATTTTTGTATATATTTAAGTTTCTTTCTATCATCATCATGTGTCTATCTATTATAAGTTTTAAGATGTAAGACAAAAACGCTAAAGAAAGATTGTACAAATTGGCATCACAGAGCTACAATGTACATCTCTAATTAGGAGTCAACTGATGATTTCAACCATAAGACTTTTTTGTAAAACTTGTCCTTCTGATCATTTTTGCATTTTAAAGTTTCTCTCTATCTATTATAGTTTTCAAGATAATAGGCAAAATTCGAAAAAAGTGGTAAAATTTGATTCTATTTTGCCCAGTAGTTTCGGAGAAAATTTTTGTAAAAGATTACAAAAATTTCTTAAAAAATTGACTATAAAGGGCAATAACTCCTGAGGGGGTCAATTGACCATTTTGGTCATGTTGTCTTAATTGTAGATCTTACTTTGCTGAACATTATTGCTGTTTACAATGCATCTCTATCCATAATAATATTCAAGACAATAACCAATAAAATGCTCCGCTGGGCGCAGCTTGAAACGACCTCAGACGTCGAACCCTGAACAGTTAGGGCAAGTATGGACACAACATTCAAGCTTGATACAGCTCTGAATTTGGATTGTGATTAAATATTTGACGCAGCATAGGTTTCTGACACAGAATGAATGTGGTCGAAGAACTTAAAATTTTTTAATTTACCTAGTATGGTCCTATATCCAAAATCTAAATACATACAAGGTTAGATTCAGCATATCAAAGAATCCCAAGACAGAGCTCCAGATAAGCTGCGTATTTGCGTGATCACGCAATACAAATGATTAAAAACCCAATGCAATTGCCCATTGCAGGGTTCAATAACCCAATTAATTCAAAGGAAAACCCAATTATATGCCAAAACCATGAGTTCTTAACGCTTTTATTCGCTATCGTTTGCGTTATTTACCCTTATCTAATTACAATCGTCGCGTAAATCTATTTTTATAATATTTACAATTGGAAATTTCCTTTCGTTCTATAAATAGAGCCCTGCATCAAGTAGCTGAAATGGGTCCCTGTTGGAATTTTCCGTTGCTCAAAAGGTACACGTGTTTATGAAAACATTTCGATCTTCTCGGCGTTTATCCAATTAGCGTTTTTTTCGAATTGCTCGGGACTTATCGTAACATACAATGAATTAAAACGAAAGTAAATGTCCGGTAAAAATATTGAATAGAAGCATGTTTTCAGCTTCTTTTTGATAGATGAGGACAAGTTATGGTGATAACAAGACTCAGCTAGTGTTTTATGAAGCGTCCGTCGAACGCACGGGCGTGTTGGCGTACCTTAACGAGAACATTGCTAGAACGATAAACACGGGGTTTCTTCAAGAACGAAATGAGTTGGAAAAAGTGAAAGGCCAAATTAATTATGACATGTTATATAGTTGGAAAGCATCGGAAACCAAAAGTTCTAATAAGGGACAACTTAACCCAGATTTATGTTAATTAAATTAAACAAAAACATTCAGGTATAATTTTAGTTTATATATTATTTTTTCATTTTTAGATGATGAGTGAATACACATATCCGTTTTTTTACGTCAATGCAGCTTGACACTTTCTTTATTTTGGTCTAATTGTTCTGTATGCTTAAGATAGCTGTCTTATTGGCAAGTGTTATTTATTTATTTGATGTTGCAGAATTATTTGTAAATTGAAGTTGAATGTGGTGTCCGTAATTAAACCACCCTTTAAACCTGGTCAAGGTTTTGGGGTATATCTTGAATCTGGGAACTACTTATTATTTTTATTAAAAAGTAGATCTGGCAAATAGGTGAAAGGACTGGCAAAACTTTCTTACAGCACCTAAATTTCACATATATTACATAAAAATCTTAACACTAAGCCACACCTACCCCAAATAAACTGTAGGATATCATATAGGATCTAGAAAGGTAATTAGTTACTGTCCAACTAGTGATTGATACCAGCTGCAGTTTATATAAGTTGCGAGAAAATACAAAACTGGCAGAACGTTTAAAACGGGACACAAATCAAACGTACAATTGCTCGTCAGTGAATAAACCAAACAAAACAGCTAGCACATATACAAAGAAAGAAACATATTAAAGATGGAAAAACATCTTGGGTTGATATAATGTGATTATAACATGCCTAAATATTCAATATTGTGTTGATGAAAAAACCCAATACATTAAGGAGCTTGGTGGTGAAAAACCCAATTTGATATTTGCTTAAGGGGTGAATCGGAATTGATAATGCAATTAAAAAACTCTATCACCCAATTACATAAAAAAATGATGGGTAAAAACCCCAATTTGTGAATTCTTATCTGGAGCTCTGCCAAGAATTCCATTTATGTTAAAATCAGACTAAGTTTAATTTTGGACCCTTTGGACCTTAATGTAGACCAATTTGAAAACGGGACCAAAAATTAAGAATCTAAATACACGGTTAGATTCAGCATATCAAAGAATTTTTGATGAAATCAAACCATATCATTATTATTTGCTTTTATACATATATATAAATCAAAAATAACCAACTTATAATGGAAAATTTTAAAGAAAAAAAAAGGAAAAAAAGGAAAAACAAATCCCTCCCCAAATTTTTTGAACCCCCCTTAAGATTCATCTTCCCCAAACTCAATCCCAGCCTTCCCTTCGTGGTATGGTACCTTGCAGTACAAGTTCAGAGCGATCCATACACTTGAACACAAGTTATTGTCTGGAAACTGTAAAAATGCTTGTTTTTGGCCCCTTTTTGGCCCCAAATTCCTTAACATTTAGGGCAATTACCCCCAAACTCAAACCCAACTTTCCCTTTGTGATATGGAACCTTGTAGTACAATTTCATAAAGATCCATACACTTACACACACGTTATTGTCCTGAAACTAGAAAAATGCTTGTTTTTTGCCCCTTTTTGGCCCCTAGTTCCCAAAATTTTGAGGCAATTACCCCCAAACTCAATCCCAGCCTTCCCTTTGTGGTATGGTACCTTGCAGTACAATTTCAGAGAGATCCATACACTTGAACACAAGTTATTGTCTGGAAACTAGGAAAATGCTAATTTTTGGCCCCTTTTTGGCCCCTTATTCCTAAGTGTTTTGGGCAATTACCCCCAAATTTAATTCCAGCTCTCCCTTTGTGATATGGAACCTTGTAGTACAATTAATTTCAGAAAGATGCATACACTTACATACAAGTTATTGTCATGAAACAAGAAAAATGCTTGTTTTTTTTGCCCTTTTTTTGGCCCCTAAATCCTAAAATTATGAGACAATTACCTCCAAAATCAATCCCAGCATTCCCTTTGTGATATGGAACCTTGTGGTACAATGTCAGAGAGATCCATACACTAACACACAAGTTACTGTTTGGAAGTTACAAAAATGATTATTTTTGCCCCTTTTTGGCCCCTTATTCCTTAACTGTTGGTACCATAACCCCCAAAATCAATCCCGACCTTCCTTTTGTGGTATTGAACCTTATGGTAAAATTTCATAGAGATCCATTCACTTAAACTAAAGTTATTGTGCGAAAACCAATGTGTCTTCGGACGACGACGATGACGCCAATATCATACCAATATATACGACCGCAATAATTTTGAGAGGTCGTATAAAAACTGCAAAATTTTCTTAAAATTACCAATTCAGGGGCAACAACCCAATAATGGGTTGTCTGATTTGTCTGAAATCTATATTCCCCAATGATGATTGTGGCCAAGTTTGGTTTACTTTGGCCCAGTAGTTTCAGAGGAGAAGATTTTTGTAAAAGTTAACAGACGAAGAAGGACCCCCCAAGTGATGATAAAAGCTCACTTGGCCAGGTGAGCTAAAAATACCTTACATTAGAGCTCTTTGATTTTAGTATCATGCCATATTATTAAAATAGTTTCTCTATTACTTTCAATTCCCTGTATATGTAGATGTCTTAAAATTAATGTATTTTATGTCTCTCCTTTGGATTGAAGGATATCAGTTTTAAATAAATTAAAAAGTACAAGTACTAAGCAAGTTGATTGTCTGACCAAATAAATAACAAGGGCAGAAAAAAGTAGCTTAAACTTTTTCCCCATGCATAGTAAATAATAAGAAAACAAATCTAAAGAATAAAAGGAAAAGGAGAAACTTTGGCACTCAGACTCATGTTATTATATAGTAAATCAGCTGATTATGTTCTTACCAGCTGCACATGGTCAATCAATTAAAAGCAATAAATTTTGTTAGTTTTAGTGACCACAAATAATTGCTCCCAATCAAGCATTAAATTTCTCTGACCCTAAAATGATGTGGAACAGTAACATTATAGGAGATCACAGCTGAAGTGTAATACCAAGTGTTTTTATGGAGGCTACAAATGTACATGGATACACATAGATCTACATAACATTTATCCATTTTAACTAAACATGTTATTGACAGGCATTTGGTTGTCTTTTTTAACATTATCATATATATTTACTGGTATACATGTACTAAATCATTATTTACTGAACTTCACACAGGTTCAGAATATTTTTGTTTTGTTTTGACCCAAATAATGACTTCAGACAAAAATATATTTATACATGTCTATATAACAATATACATGATCATATGAATAGAATTAAATATCTCCCTTGAGTGCCCAACTGTTTTCTGGAATATTGCTTGTATTATGTTTTTGACATTATTGAATCAAAATGTCAATATACATGATATAAGCAGACACAAAATAAAGGAAAAAAAGATTGTACCCACTTAATAAAGAAATTTATATTTGTTCTTTGACTACACAAAAAGTAGGTATATAGTTATGTTTGATTGAAACAGGAAAGAAAATTACATATATATATATATATATACAATATGAAGATTTGGATAAAGATTGAGGTTTTATAACATTATATTCTTTGATGTATAGCCTGTTCATTTAAGAATATAAATCGCATTAACAAAATCCATTCGCCCTGATTACATGTTTGCCCTGGGTCTGTTCGCCCTGAGTTCGTTCGCCCATATAGTCCGTTCGCCTAGGGTCCGTTCTCCCTACTTTTATTAAAACATATTGTTTTATGGGTATTAAACTTTAAAAAACTTATTCAGATATTTATATGGTATAAATTCTGGAAATTTATGAAAAAACATAGAAATATTTAAAAGTTGTTGGCTTAAGATTTGTTTTAGAGCATTAATTGTTCAAAATAATAATTCTCACTGATTGTTGTAATGGATTAATAATAAAAACAACATTTTATTTTGATAAACTAGCTATATAGTCAGCTTGGAATGAGTAAAAACAATGATGTACAAATTTTCAAACTTGAAAAAGATATAAATTTATATTGTTATCAAATTGACTAACCAGAATTAATAAAATTGTTAACAAATATCAATAAGATAAGTACAATGTATTCCAGGGAAGTGCTATTTTACAGGTTGCAGGTCGCATATAAATCTACCCCATGACTGATAAATTTACAAATTATTTCTTACAGTACACATACTGTAGGGTAGAAGTATTTTGTCTTTTTTTTTATCATAATCTTCAAATTCAATAATCATAATTTTAATACACATACATGTATCTTTTGATGCTTATCATACCGCTCAATTGCTATTATTAGTTCTAAACATTGATTCTAGTGAAGTTAAAGTAATAAAAACTTCAAATTGACATAGGCTGAACAGGTTCTATGGAACACATTAATCTGTCTTAATCTAGTTACATAAACAATTAAATTCCTTTCAGTTGACATTCAACATCTTTGAGGCTAATATTAAGAAATTATAAGCTCTAGATAATTATATGCATTTTCTTGCATGAACATAATAAATTTAGTGCAAGAAACAAACAAAATAATTTACTTCCCAATTCTGTTTTTATTTATGTAAAGACCCAAAACCTTGAGTCTGTTCTGTTGCAATTGTCCATTTACAATTTGTCTAATGATTTAAAAGTAAAAAATGTATTTATTTTTTAAGAAGGAGGCGGACATCCTGTTTCTTAAGTATATACCTCCCCAAATTTCAAGCAGGGATAACATAAGCTCACCTGCATTCCATTTTCCATTTGCATTTATTTGATTTTACATTAACAAGTCAAGGGAATAGAGTTAAACAATATGGAGTAAAGTTTTGAGAATTACAGTTAAAGTTTTAAATGAATTCTTATTATTACAAAAACAATAAAAAAAATTTTTTTTTTTTAAATATGGCAAGAATTGTACCCATTTTCCATAAATTTAATATTTCCAAGGGACTCAACTTTTTTAAATAAAGTTGATCGTCCACCATTTTAGAACTTGTCCGACATATTGCTGATATCAACCTATATAATAGTACAAGTTTTATAAAAATCTGACAAGAATTGTACCCGTGAGATCGCTAACGAGGCCATTTTCCATATATTTAATATTTTTAAGGGGCATAACTCTTTTCAAAAAAGTAGATTTTTCACCATTTTCGAGCCGGACGGACGGACGCCCGGTATTTCCATGTCCCCCCGCAACGCGTTACACGGTTGACAAAAAGATATTTATCATAGCGTATAAACGCAGTCTTTTAAGACAAGACTTTTAAATAGGTAGACTTTTGAGACGGACCCTTGCTATGAATGCAGTAGAACTAAAAAGCTAAAAAAATCCAGAAACCTACATCGAGTTAAAAGGCAATAAGTCTTTACCACTATATAAAAACTGTGTCAAGTCTTGATGTTTTAATATGTATGTTCTATGCATTTGTTGAAAGTTTTACCCAAATGTTTGTTAAGTTTTCTCTTTTCGAACAGAAAGTGTATGTATTAGATAAACCCTGAGGGTGTTAGACCAATTAAGTGCATTTACATCTCAAGTTATAATGATTAATGTAAATTGATAGATTTCTATTTATAGGTGTAAGTTTATTTACACCAGAATGTTGTTTAATGTAATTGGATACCCTGCCTTTAACATTGATCATAAAATTGTGTAAATTAGATACACCCTCTCATGCTAATACCCTTGTGGTATATCTAATACTTAAACCTGCAACCTGCATTTTAGACAATTTCTGTATTCCAGTATTCCACTATGCAAATTAAAGGAAAATAATTTATATTTCATTTTTGGTTGCAGCAAATACAAATTTTTCGGCAAATTTTTCAACAAACTTTAACATACTCTGTTCAAATAATAAACATGATGCAACTAGACTATAATAAAAAAAAATTATCAGAATGAAATTTGGAAAAAAAAGCAGGACAGGGGTTTGAGTAATAAAAAGGCGTGATGAGACACTTTGGCCCAAAAAAAGGCAGGATGATTATTTATGGAAAAAAAAGTCAGGATAAACTAATGTAAGTCTAGTACACATTTTTGTTAAAGGGCCAGATGAAGCACGTCTCCGGGTGCGGAATTTTCTCGCTATGTTGAAAACCCATTGGTGGCCTTTGGCTGTTTTCTGCTCTTTGGTCGGGTTGTTGTCTCTTTGACACAATAATCCCCATATCCATTCTCAATTTTAATACAAAAAACTTAAAAAGGCAGGACCGAATAGAGTGAAAAATACAAAGGCTGCGGCTGAGGAAAGACATTACAACTAATAAAATGAAGTACAAAATTTTTCATCCTAGCCCCATAAAAATCAAATGGTGGTCCCTTATCAACCTTTAAACCCTTCCCCCATCCCCCCCCCCCAAAAAAAAAATCCAGTCCCTTTTTAAACGTACATTGCTCTCACACTTGTTTTAACTAAATGTTTACCATATATATTGCAATCATTTCAACAACATGCTCCTGTCGTACTGACGTGTTTTCATTCAGCAAAGCTCTGCATGACCTGCATCTTCAAGGCTGAGACTACTGTTATAGTAGTCTCAATTCAAGGTCACAAAAAGTTTGTCTTTCTTGAACTGGTTCCCTGATTTATTTGGATAACAGACGCTTTTTCTATCGACACTGCCACTCTGACTCTTTCTTGGCTCTTGTAGATCGAACTTTAACAGATTGAAGGTCAGAATGTTTGTTCCGATTCCACAGACCTGTTACCTGTTCTGTAAATTCCACCTTTTCCAGATGAACCACTTCAGTTAGGAAATCCTAAGGTAGGATATGGGGAAATCTGGATTTAGAATATTTTTTTGTCATCTGCTTGACCACAATAAAGTCAATGCTTAATAGATAGAGCAATAATTTCCCTTCTACAGTTTAATAAAACAAATTTAAAATTCAGAAATAAAGATAATTCATTGAATCAAGACTACTATAAAATATGGACCTATTCAAGTACACCTTTTAGCCAAAATTTAGGGTGTGCTTGACTGGATTGTATTTTTAAATGTTGTGTAGGACTTTTTGTAAACGATAAATGCTGGCATGGACATAATACTTGTAAGTAAGTTAAATTTTATAATGAAAATCTGTAATAGATAAAACTAATTAAAAGTCTGTGTTTTTTTTTTTTACAAAAATCTAGGCTTTACTTGCACAAAATCCCTATTTTCTATTCATCTACATCACAGGTATTTGGGGCATGGACCCTCCGTATTGGGCCCACTTAAAAAAAAATCTTTTTTTTTCCGTATTTCCAATTTTCTACAATGTTAGACATACAACCTGATAACAAGTCTCAACAATCCATTATTAGTCGATTACAATACCTTTTTTTACTATCAACACAAACCCCAAGTGAAAATGTAAAAATGGCTTGTCACTTTTATTCTGTATGTATATATCTGTTTAAAATTTTTTTAATACATTGTTGGCGAGCCATCTTATGTCTTATTAATATCGGGGGTGTGGAAATGCTATGCCCGACTCGCCCGACTCGTACATTTGAACACCCGGACAAGTAATTTATTTTGTCTGAGTTGCTCGTAGACAAGTAAAATAATATGCATGACAAAGTTTAGTTCAAACAAAAATAAAGAATTATTTTCAAAACTTATAAAGATGTTTAATTTCATGTAAAAGAAACCAATGATCAGAGAGTAAAAAACATATATTTAAGTCAAAACATCAATGTTCATGACGATGAATATTAAATAACAGAAATAGATCGATTACCAAAATTAAAAAAAAAAAATAAGTATGCGAACCCGGGTCACGTAAACATTGCATTGTCTTTGTCCATTGACCTGGGATTGTCGATTAGGATATATCCATCATTTAACGGAAGTGTCATTTCATTAGTTTTGTATCGAGTTTCTGAAAAATACTTAATAAAAATACAGGGCAATCAAGACAAAAAGAGTGACGAGTCGTGTAGAAAATGTAAAACACAAACGGAGAAGGACAAGAAGTATGAAAAAAAAAAATCGGAAGGGAGCATTTCAGACATCGTGGGTATCAGATTCCCCCTGGCTATCTAGGGAAGAAAATTCGGAAAAATAAATTGAAATTTTGTATAATTTGTAGACAGCATCCGACCCTTGCCGATCAAAAGTCAACCTTATTTGTTGGCAAAGTGGTAGATAGAAGGGACACTTTAATTGCCCATTAACTATCAAGAAAAAGCCAAGCAGTTGAGAGAAACAAATAAAATTCAATAGTTAATCTATTATTAGTTTTCATTTCTTCACTCACTGTCCTCAAAATTTAGTATATATGTACCTACTGGCTAGAATTTATAATTAAATATTGCTGCAAAATTGTCCTCTAAGTGTCATTTCATTCGGTTGGTTTGCTGTTGGGTTTCTGTCCCATTGATGTTAACCCATTACCTTCTTTTATTTGTACACATAAACACAATGACTTTCATTTATATTGTGATGCAAAACAGTTCTAAGAATCATGCATACAAGCTAACAGTTAAATACTTCAATATTTATTGGGACTTTCAGGACAAGTAACTTTTTTTACGGACAAGTTAAATTTACAGTTTTACTTGCCCACGGACAAGTGCTCACAACATACATTTCCACACCCCTGAATATTTACATGTACTTGGGACTTTTTAAATGTTCAAAACTGTTCTATTTGCTTAAAAGTAACCTGGAGAAATTTCTAGACACCATTCATTTAAGGTCAAAAGCCTTGTGACCTTAGGGTGAAACCCTACTGGAGCCCCAGTGTATGAATGCATGTACATATCTTACCAAGGAGGTTGATCTTACATTAGAGTCGGTTGGGGTAATTCCGTACACTTTCGGTCCTAAATGAAAGTCATTTGGTTCCCTGTTTGATAAACAAGAGAAATGTAATATGTATTGTATTTACCTGCCTGTACGAAATTACCCGGATCGGATCGACTATAATCTTTATCATGTTTATAGATTAATCATTTATACTAATTCTTTTTTTTTTTCATTAATAAAAAAATTCTGCAGATGATTAAGTATAATTTTATAAATAATATTTTTTTCCAACAAGCTATAAGAATGTTTTAAATTTTAAAAATTCACAGAATCTAAATAACAAAATTTTAACTTCGCATTATTTGTTAAAGGGAGTCCCCCAACAGTATATACTCAGTTCATCATTATGGTAGGATCACATGTCCTGTGCATGCTGTGTTTATAGTACATGTATAATAGATTTATTATGTCTCCTCTATCTGAAGTTTGGTTAAACTGCCTACTGGGAAAAACATTATTACATGATTACATTCCCAATTACATGTACTACTATTAGTCAATTATGTGTGAAACATTTCAATTTCATGGGTTTTAATCCCCCAGTGCATGATGTGAAACATCATAAGAATTTGTAGATATAAATGAAGAGATATGAAAATTTTATCCTCAGTACTGTGTCAGGCACTTAACGACAATAAAAACATTAATTTAGGGTAATAAATATTCCTAAAGAAATGAACATTGAGAAGTTCTCATTCTGACACACATTTCAATGATCAATTAAATCATCTTTTATTAGGGAGCTAACCATTTGATTTTTATGGGTGGGCTAGGATGAAAAATTTTGTCCTGCATTCTTTTTGATGATTAAGGCATCATGATAGATAATATTTAAACTCTTTCCTTACTTGAAAAAAGCACCTGGTTCCCTAAAGAGCACCAGGGTGCAAAATTTCAGGGGGAGGGTGCAGAGCCTCTATATTTACTGCTCTCCTGGATACTGATTTGTAAACATGTAAAAATAAGGCCGCTAATGCCCTCATGTATCATCAACAAAGAAAGTGACAAATGAATAATTTTATTTCCTTTTTGCAATTTCTCATTGATGTGATGTAAATTTTCTGTTAGAAAGTCACACGATTCTGTATCTATATACTAGTATGACAGTTTGCCTAAGTTTCACAAGACTGTTTTATCTTATTTTTGCAGAAATTTTTTTTTTCTAGGTGTACAACTGTGCAAGTATTGAACATCGCAGCTTGAAATGCAATGTGACCTAAAAGACAACATAATAATGGACAGATGTAAGTATTTGGTAATATAATAATAGTTAAAGATATGGGGAATGTATGAAATTGTTTGAAAAAGTCCACATATAATACACTCCTTGAAAGTAGATTTTTATCTTTTTTACTGTTCTGCTAAATGAGGGTTTGGATGACTGAGGGGGTCCTTTATGTCTTTATTCTTTAAATATTATACCATTTTCCTCTCTATTTAATATTTATTTTGCCCATTCATATTATCTCTATTCACTATATCTGTGTGCCCCATTATTCAATATTCTGTATTAGTTTTGCAATTGTTTCTCTATTCTTGATTTGTTTGTCCTTTATTCTGCACTTTTTTGTCAATTATTCTCTATTCTGTAAACCCCATCCATACTCTCCATTATGATATATATATTCCACTATTCATTCCAATGAAAAGATAAAAAAAGTTTTATGTTGTCCATATTCTAAATTGTTCTCTGATAAAATAATTAGTTACATAGTGTGCTAGTGACCTAATACGGTATATATGGGGTCAGTAAATACCATATGGGGATTCGCTCGAATCCCCATATGGTATTTACTGACCCGATATATACCGTATTACGTCACTAGCACACTATGTAACGAATTTATCTTACCGACTATCTTAACATGCGGTTGCTTTTAACCAATCATATTCCTACAAGTGTATAGGAGGTAAGATAAATATATATACCAGCATATAAAATTTGATTTCTCAATCACAAGAAATATCTTTTATGGTTTTGATCTCTATATATATATATGGAAAAATTGGTAAAATAGATATAAAAAAAATGAAAGAAATTAAAAAAAATGAAAGAAATGGATGGTAAGTACATTTGAATATATGATAGGAAGTTTTCACTTTGCTGGCGGTTTGTACATATATTGAAGATGTGCATGTGGTCAGGGTTTTGATTTTTATTGATATTTGCTCTTTTGCGAGACAGTTGAACTTTGTCATTTTTGGAGTATTTACTTGCATAAGAGGTGCATAGCTTTTCAGGATCACTCCTCCTACAGTTTGAAATGAAATGGCACCTTCATCAAAAACTTCATTTTAATGAGAAATAATTCAAATTTGAAGCATACAAGTAGTGAAATAATCTTTCCCTTTTAAGTTTTCATTTGTATGACGTCGTATTTTGAAATGATGTAAAATCACTAAATCATTCATGAAATTTCACGGAATTTTATTTAAATCTTAATTATATACATTTTAGAAGGTTTTTAATGCATTATTTCTTTTTTGTTAAATATGCATTGAATAGAAACAAATTTTATGTATTTGTTTTTCAATCTCAATTTGCTGAAAATCCCGGGATCCCTGCATGCATGTGTATCGCGCATGAATAGATCACAGTGAACTGGTTACGAAAGTCGTTTCGGAAACATATGGTTTATCAAGTGTAAACCAAGGAAAAAAATCTAATTCACCAATCCAATTCAAGTATTTATAGATATGCAAATCATATAAGAATTATTGCCCGTTAAATTTTACACAATTTGTTCATCATGTTTGCTTACATTTAAAAATCTTCTGCTCTGAAACAACTGGACCGAATACTTCTAAACTTTACCTGAATGTTCCTTAAGGTATCTAGTTTATAAATTGTATCCGAAGTTTTGATCCATCAACAAACATGGCTGCCATGGCTAAAACTAGAACATAGGGGTCAAATGCAGTTTTTGGCTTATATCTCAAAAACTAAAGCATTTAGAGTGAATCTGACATGGGGTAAAAATGTTCAACAGGTGAAATCTATCAGCCTTCAGCTGAACCGAACAACCCATTGTTAGGTTGCTGCCACTAAATTGGCAATTTAAAGGAAATTTTGCAGTTTTTAGTGATATTCTTGAATATTATTGAAGATAAAGATAAAAAAAGGTTCAGCGAAGTAAGATCTACAAAAACGTTTATGTGACCAAAATTGTCAATTGACCTCTTTTAAGGAGTTATTGCCCTTTAAAGACAATTTTTCACACTTTGTTCATCTAGTTTGCTTGCCTTACTTCAAAAAATCTTCTGCTTTGAAACTGCTGAATTTTTTTGAGCCAAACTAGGGCTGAATGAGTTTCACGAGTATTTAGTATATTTTTTTTATTTTATTTCCTTGCACGTCAAGAAACATAGCCACTATGGCTATAATGGAACATAGGGGTAAAATGCATTTTTTTTGCTTTTCAAGAAAATATGACAGATACAAAGAACATTTAAATGGCATTTTTAAGCCACTCATTAATAAATATTGAAAAGCAAAAATAATCATTGATGAAAGATTTTCAGCAAAATGTTACAGGTGAGCGATTAGGGCTCTTGAGAGCCTCTTGTTTTAAGATATAAATGGGAGAGCTATCTTTTTAAAGTTTGAAATTTTTTAGAGATAATTTATTGTAATATTGTCTGTCTGTTTGTCCCCTCTTACACTCTTTATACATGTACTTGGATTTCAGGATTTTATATGCAGAATAGCTTTGACAGGCTCAGCTAATTCTAAATGGTCTGGAACCCCACCTTTTTTTTTTACTATCAATGCATTTGAATGGGGACATATAGTTGGAACCCCCCCCTTTATCCTGGGTTAGGACCACCCAGAAGTAAATTATGTAAAAATAAAATTCCATTTTTTCCGTATTTTACTTATAAATAGACTTAGTTTTTCTGCCAGGAAACAACACATTCACTCTGTGGTTAAAGTTTTTGTTGAGCCTGCGACTTTTGTCGCAGAAAGCTCGACATAGGGATAGTGATCCGGCGGCGGCAGCTACGGCGACGGCGGCAGCGGCGTTAGCTAACTTCTTAAAAGCTTTATATTTAAGAAGGTGGAAGACCTGGATGCTTCATACTTTGTATATAGATGCCTCATGTTACGAAGTTTCCGTCAGTCACATGTCCAATGTCCTTGACCTCATTTTCATGGTTCAGTGACTACTTGAAAAAAAAGTTCAGATTTTTTGGAATGTTAAATTCTCTCTTATTATAAGTAATAGGATAACAATATTTGGTATGTGCGTACCTTGCAAGGTCCTCATGCCCGTCAGACAGTTTTCACTTGACCTCGACCTCATTTCATGGATCAGTGAACAAGGTTAAGTTTTCATGGTCAAGTCCATATCTGAGATACTATAATCAATAGGTCTACTATATTTGGTGTATGTAATGATAGTAAGGTGTACATGTCCAACTGGCAGGTGTCATCTGACCTTGACCTCATTTTCATGGTTCAGTGGTCATAGTTTAGTTTTTGTGTTTTGGTCTGTTTTTCTAATACTGTATGCAATAGGTCAACTGTATTTGGTGTATGGAAATATTTTACGATCTTCATGTCAGTCTGGCAAGTTTTATTTGACCTTGACCTCATTTTCACGGTTCATTGCTCAATGTTAAGTTTTTGTGTTTTGGTCTGTTTTTCTAATACTGTATGCAGTAGGTCAACTTTATTTGGTGTATGGAAATATTTTACGATGTACATGTCAGTCTGGCATGTTTTATTTGACCTTGACCTCATTTTCAAGGTTCATTGCTTATGTTAAGTTTTTGTGTTTTGGTCTGTTTTTCTTACACTTTAAGCAATAGGTCAACTATATTTGGTGTATGGAATGATTGTAAGGTGTATATGTCTGTCTGGCAGGTATCATCTGACCTTCACCTCATTTTCATGGTTGTTTGGTCAATGTTCAGTTTTCCTGGTTAACTTTTTTTCTTAGATACATTAAGCAATAGGTCAACTATATTTGGAATGATTTTAATGTGTACATGTCTGTCTGGCAGGGTTCAAATGACCTTGACTTCATTTTCATGGTTCATTGGTCAATATAGAATTTCCATGGTTTTCTAGGTCTGTTTCTTTTATACTATAAGCAATAGGTCATCTATATTCTGTGTATGGAGGGATTGTATTAAAGGTGTACATGTATTTCTGGCTTGGTTTATCTGACCTTGACCTCATTTTCTTGGATCATAAATGTTAATGTGATACTTGTAGTAAAACTTTATATGTAGGACTATCAACATAAAATCAATGGTCAGTTTAGTAGGCGAGACATTTCAGCGTGTGCACTCTTGTTAAAATTTTAATAACTTAATTAATTTCTTATACTATTTTGGATTTGTACCAAAGTTGGACAGAAGCTTGTTTATGATCAAAAGCTAGTATCTAGAAGGAAATTTTGTAAAAAAATAAATCCATTTTTTCCGTATTTTACTTTTAAATGGACTTAGATTTTCTGCCAGGAAACAACATATTCACTCTGTGGTTAAAGTTTTTAAAATTTTAATAACTTAATTAATTTCTTATACTATTTTGGATTTGTACCAAACTTGGACAGAAGCTTGTTTATGATCAAATGCTATAGTATCTAGAAGGAAATTTTGTTTTCTTCCAGTTAAAGTTTTTAAACATTTATTTGATTCATAAACTATCCTGCATTTTTACCAAACTTGGACAGAAGCTTCTTACAATCAAAAGATAGTATCAAGAGGAATATTTTTATTGATTTACTTCCTCATTTTTGTTGAGCCTGCGATTAACAGAAAAGGTAGGTGAGACACTGGGTTCCGCGGAACCCTTACAAATTTTTTCTAATACTATATGCAATAGGTCAACTATATTTGATGTATGGAAATTTTTTATGATCAACATGTCAGTCTCGCAGGTTTTATTTTACTTTGACCTCATTTTTCATGGTTCATTGCTCAGTGTTAAGTTTTTGTGTTTTGGTCTGTTTTTCTTAAACTATAAAAAATACTTAGTAGGTCAACTATATTTGTTGTACGGAAGGATTGTACCTGTCTTGCATGTATCATCTGACCTAGGCCTCATTTTCATGGTTCATTGGTCAATGCTTAGTTTTCTTGGTTATAAGTCTGTTTCTTAAAAACTATAGCAATAGGTCAACTATCGATATTTGGTGAATTAAATGATTGTCAGGTGTACATGTATTTCTTATTATTGGTTAATCTGATCTTGGCCTCATTTTCTTGGATCATGTAAAGTTCATATGAAACTTGTAGTAAAGCTTTATGTTTAGGACTATCAACATAAAATCAATGGTTAACACAGAAGGCAAGACATTTCAGCGTGTGCACTCTTTTTCAGATATTATAATTGGTGTATGAAATGATTGTAAGGGGTGCATGTCAGTTTGGTAGGTTTCATCCTTGACCTCTTTTTCATGGTTCAGTATTGTATGTTAAGGTTTTGTGTCTTTGTCAGTTTTTCAAATACTATAAGCAGTACCTTAACTATATTTGGTGTATGGAATGGTTATAAGGCTTATATGACTGTCTGGTAGGTATCATCTGACTTTGACCTCTCCTTCATGGTTAATTGGTCAATTGTTCAGTTTTTGTGTTTTTTGTCTGTTTTTAAAATACTTAAAGCAGTATAGGTCAACTATATTTGATGTATAGAATGATTGTAGGGTGTACATATAAAAAAGAGGATGTGGTATGATTGCCAATGAGTCAACTCTTCACAAGAGACCAAATGACACAGAAATTAACAGCTATATATAGGTCACAGAACAGCCTTCAACAATGAGCAAAGCCCATACCGCATAGTCAGATATAAAAGGCCCCGAAATCACAAATGTAAATCAATTCAAACGAGAAAACAAAGGCCTAATTAATGTACAAAAAAAATGAACGAACAACAAACGACAACCACTGAATTACTGGTTCCTGACTTGGGACAGGCACATACATACAGAATGTGGCAGGGTTAAACATGTTAGCGGGATCATAAATTCATATATTTTAGAAAACTTAAGAAAATCTGTTATATTATAGAAATTTTATTAACATTAACAATATTAAATGTTGTACTTTAAACTATATATATTTGATTTATGCTTTTACATTAATATTTTAATTCCCGTATTGCTATGAAATTTATTATATGTTTTTTCTCATGGCAGCTCTAATATAAAAACGTATTTTTCTTTGAAGTTCATTATCTTCTTCATTTCTAAACACTTGTTTAATTATACACCTTTTTTTCTATAGCCATTATTATTACAGCTGGTCAGTGGTCATAAACCTATGAAAATGAGTCAATTATTTAACCACAGAGCACTACCCACATGTTCTTATCCTGTGTATTTGATGAATAATTTTAAAACTAATTTTCATCAAAACTCATTAACAGGGCAAGATATGGAAATTTATTTTTCTTCTGTGGTTTTAGAATATTAAGTAACAAAATGAAAATGATATTTTGATAAACATGTTGTTGTCTTTGTATTAATTGTGCTCTCATAAACCATCAGATTAGTACCACTATGTACTGTACTGCAATAAAAAAAACATGAATCAATATCAGGGAACTTGAAGTAATTGAAAACCAATACCGTATATATAGTTGGCTATAAAAGGGCCGGATATGTACAAACTTAGGGTTCTGAAGAAATGTTCGATTGCCTATAATTGCCTACATCCACTTCATTTTAACTCTGACGGATAGTTGTTTCTGGCTGTCATTAGTCTGTAGGTTTGGTTTCAATTACTTCAAGTTCCCTGATATCAATGGATATTGATTCATGTTTTTTTTATCGCAGTACAGTACATACTAATCTGATGGTACTAGTTCAAAACCCAAACTGCACTCTAACTTTACTTTGCCTCAACCAAGTGTATTGAAACTTATACACAATGCTTATTAACACCAAACACTGATCAAGTTTGGGTGTCATCTCTTTCACCATTCTCATATTATGTAACTTTATTAATAAAAAAAATTGATAAATTTGAGATATATTTACAAGCAGGCCGGGACATCTGTGTTTCATTGACACATTCTTGTTTTATTTATTACATATTTTAGTGTATTAAAAGTATTTATACTGCTTCCACTTTTCAAAATTCTAACAAAGCTCTACCTCTTTAATGGATAAATAAATGATACTAGTCAAGAACTCAACAGATATTTTTTTTCAGGTTCTCTGGTCGTTCGTACTTGTTGGCCACACACATGGAGATATTGATCCTGCTTTCAGCTAATATCAGAAAAATTAAGAACAAAGGATGCTGAAACTGTGCAGTCACTGTTCAGGATTATTCCAGATGTTTCAAAAGTGAAATTATAATACAATATATGTTACTGGTTAATTCCTATGATTAGTAATTTTAAACAACACACAGAGACTTTGCATTATTGTTTTACAAGAGAGACACCAAAAGATGCAATCAACATTTATCATTTTTATCAAAATACACCCAGGACAAACCATGGATACACTTAGCTTGAAATATTGTGCTTTCTTACCAGAATTGCCTGGATGTAAAAGAAATGAAGAACCTAAATTCATGACAACAATCAGGAGATACGCAGAAGAACTAGTATAAATGGTTAAAGATGAAAGAATGCAGAATAAGGTACTGTCACATTCAGTCTTAATAAGAGTCCTGCTGCTTTATATATATGCATTTTTAGGCAGTTAAGCTGCCTTATGCGTGCACCCTAGATTTGTGTTCTACCAAATAAATGCTGAAATGCATGCCATTGTTATCTAGCTGGCTAGATTATGTATTCATAACTAATTGGACATTTTTTTAATACTTTTATTTCTGGAATACAAAAAATATGACCAGAAAAACCTTAAATGATCGTCGAACTACCCAAAACTTTTGAAGTTGCACATAGGAAGTAGTGCTCAATAGAAATCCGTACGTAGTTTATTATCCCCTGTGCTTTTGGCTACGATGTCAAAGAACAATTGTATGAAATATTTCATTGCCGAAAATCGGTAATTACAAGTCGTTTATATTTCGCAAATGGCAAAATGCACAGGAATATTGTTCATGTACAACAAATCTCTATGATAGAGGAAATATATAAAGATATATAATTAATGGGTGGTAATTTTTAACTTATCTTGCCAAATAAGGTGGTTGCTATTTTATGAATGAAACGAGGTCATGAAACAGATGCGGACATCGACATTGATGGGATGTTTTAAGTAATGTGGACAACTCGTCCCCGAGACAAGTCGGACCGAATCCACTCAAACCGTCTAAGAAGACAACTTTGACCGTTTGTCAGATTTACTTAGGGTTTCATAAAATATTAGACTAACATGTCTAGCGGAGCCATTAATCTTTTGTTTGTGCATTGGGGTCTATTTAGGGGTATTTGGAGGGGCCTGAAGAAGGGAGGGGTTTACTATAGAACCCTATGGGATTTATTTTTTTTTAATTTTCAAATGACTATTTCTCGAAAACAGTAAGTGATAGACACATGCAGTCTTCAGTAATGAGAACAGGACAATAAAAAAATCAACCAAAATATAGGGTGAGTCCCTGGGGGTCATCCCAACCCCCTTTAATTTGAAAATGTACTTTCATCTTGTAAACTGTTGCGATCCCCACCCCTAAACATTATATATACTTGTATGGGACAATAAAAGAAATCAAATGAAAATAATTTGGGGGAGTTCCCGGTGTCGTCCCACCCCCTCCTGTTTGAGAACTTGGAAATGGTTGAGATCCCCACCCCTAAACCATATATATTCATGTATGGGACAATAAAACAAATCAAATGAAATATATGGGGAGTCCCTGGGTTCACCCCACCCCCTCCTGTTTGAGAACTTGTAAATGGTCGAGATCCCCACCCCTAAACCATATATATTCATGTATGGGACAATATAACAAATCAAATGAAATATATATGGGGAGTCACTAGGGTCACCCAACCTCTCCTGTTTGAGAACTTGGAAATGGTTGAGATCCCCACCCCTAAACCATATACGTTCATGTATGGGACAATAAAACAAATCAAATGAAATATAGGGGGAGTCTCTGGGGACACCCACCCCCTCCTGTTTGAGAACTTGTAAACAGTCAAGATCCCCACCCCTAAACCATATATATTCATGTATGAGACAATAAAACAAATCAAATGAAATATAGGGGGAGTCCATGGGGACACCCCACCCCCTCTTGTTTGAGAACTTGTAAACAGTCAAGATCCCCACCCCTAAACCATATATATTCATGTATGGGACAATATAACAAATCAAATGAAATATTTGGGGAGTCCCTAGGGTCACCCACCCCTCCTCTTTGAGAACTTGGAAATGGTCGAGATCCCCACCCCTAAACCATATGTATTCATGTATGGGACAATATAACAAATCAAATGAAATATAGGGGGAGTCCCTGGGGTCACCCAACCCCTCCTGTTTGAGAACTTGTAAATGGTCGAGATACCTACACCTAAACCATATTTATTCCTGTTCATCATTTCAAAAAGATTTGAATGACATACAGGGTCAATCTCCTAGGTGTCACATATGCATATCACTTTACTAGACCAAACCAATATGGACTGGACTTTGCCAAATGTCAGGAGACCATAGGAATGACGAATTATGGGGGCTTTGTTTGGGAGACTTCGTAACGGCATCCTGTTACAATTATTTCTTGTTTATTATAAAATTTTATTGATGCAAAAAATGAGTCTAGGTTAATTGAATTTATTTTAATTATTTATTAAATTATTTCTGGGCCTATAATAAATTTCATTTATGGCTCATTTTAAAGAAAACATATAAGTCTTTCAAGCAGTGTAAAGCCCAAGAATATTTGACCAACTGTTTTATAATCACCTGTCATTTTATTCCAAACTTGGTATGGAGTAACATCATGCACTTGGGGTTGAAGATGGGGATCATTTACATTGATATATGAGTTGCTTTTGAAAACCTTGATGAAATATTGATTAATTTGCCTAAATAATCAATTCTTTTAATGAACATAAATGTACAATATACGAATGTTTAATGTTTGTTCTTTCAAATCTTAAAAAAAAATTGAAGCAAAACTGCCACAGTTTTATAATTACGTTTGCCTTGGTTTTTGGTTAACAGCCTACAGCGCTTACAGTGCTTTGATTTTATGCCCCGTCGTAGCGGAGGGGGCATTAAGTTTTACCCTTGTACGTCTGTACGTAATTTGATATAAGAAGATGTGGTATGAGTGCCAATGAGACAACTCTCCATCACAATTTGTGAAAAAAAACCATTATAGGTCAAAGTACGGTCTTCTACACGGAGCCTTGGCTCACACCAAACAGTTAGCTATAAAAGGCCCCAAAAATGACTAGTGTAAAACCATTCAAATGGGAAAACCAAAGGTCTAATCTATATAAAAAATGAGAAACGAGAAACACTTATGAACCACATCAACAAACCACAACTACTGATCATCAGGTTCCTGACTGAGGACAGGTGCAAACAAATGCAGCGGGTTTAAACGTTTTAATAGGTACCAACCTTCACCCTTACCCGAAACAATAGTGTAACATCACAACATAGAAAGACACAGTATAGATGGAAAATTTTTTTACAAAATAAATAATTTTGTTGTTCATAGTACGAGAAACAGAAGTAAAAATTTAAAGTCATACTAAACACTTATCAAAGCAGCTGGTATATATCAAAAATAGAGAAACATTGAATAACAAAAAACATTGCGATTGTATCAACAGGTCAACATGAAAGTACGATTTGAGAGTACTCGCAGCTACGTATACTGAAAGCTAGTTAAAAGCCAAAATTAATCAATTAATAATAAAAAAATCATGCATCAGAGACTAAAATCAACTAAAACATATCCCAGGGATTTAGTATTTAATATCATGCATGGACAGTCAAAGAAGACATGACTTGTGCAATGCCAAAAATAAAAGTATCGACAGGCTGTAGGATAGTTATGTTAACCTCTATATAGAAAAAATTAACGTGGATTTGTATTTATACATCCCACTTAAAAAAAATACAAATTTAGTTATGTTTTAATTTGCTGATGACAAAATCGTTATTTGTGCTAATGTAAACTATAATCAAACATCTTAAATTACAACATTTGTAAGATAACCTTTACTAATAAGTTTGTTTAATTTAGGTTCGATGAGTTTACATGGATCACACAGTGATTTCCGTGCTTTTAGTACAATATTACTGTAAAATTTAGGATGTGAAATACCGTTTTTTATAAGTTTTCTTCAGGTACAGCCAAATTTACTAATCAAATCTTTGTATCTATGAAAGAATTTAGTAAAAGTTTTAAGTAATTTATGGTAACGAAATCCCTGACTTAATAATTTACCAGTGTAAGTCTGTACGTCCCATTAATTGGTTTCTGTTCTCTAACTTTAGTTTGCCTCAACCAAATGTTATGAAACTTATACATTGCTTATTACCACAAACCACAAATCAAGTTTGAATTTTGGTAGCGTCACTTTTACCATTTTAGATCTAGAGTTATGCCTCTTTACAAATGGAAAAATTGCTGATTTTTTTGGTGTCCGTTCTCTAACTTTAGTTTGCCTGAACCAAATATTATGAAACTTATACACAATGCTTATTACCACAAAACAAAGATCAAGTTTGAATGTTGGTGGCCTCACTTTTACTGTTCTAGAGTTATGCTCCTTTACAAATAGAAAAATTGCCAAGTTTTTACACGCCAGTTTACGGGACGTATTATGGTATATCGTTGTCCGTCCATCCGTCTGTCGTGAACATGTCTGACAATCAAAAACGCTTGAACCAATTTACATGAAACTTTGGTGAATTAGTTATATCTGTTGACGTGTGCTCCCTTTCGTTTTTTATAAATTTTAGGCTTTGAGTTTCCAAGTTTTGGTTTTTTTTTTCATTAAAAAAGGGGGAATTTCCAGTTTTCGGACAATAACTCAAAAAAAAATTCACCAATTTGCAAGAAACTTTGGTGATTTGTTTATATCTATTGACATGATCTCCCTTTCGATTTTTATAAATTCAAGATTTTACGTTTCCGAGTTATGGAGTTTTATTCATTAAAAAAGGGTGAATTTCCAGTTTTCGGACAATGACTCTAAATGCTTTCTGCAGTTTTCATGAAACTTTAGTGAATTGTTTATATCTATTGACTTAAGCTCCCTTTTGATTTTTATCAATTTTAGGTTTTAAGTTTTGGAGTTATGTGATTGTATTCATAAAAAGGGGGGATTTTCCTGTTTTTTTTTAACAATGCTTTGAGCAGTTATCATGAAACTTTGGTTACTGGTTGTATCTATTAAGATAACCTCCCTTTAGTTTTTCATGAATTTCTGATATGACATTAAGAAGTTATTGAACTTTATTCTTTGAAAAAGTGATGGGCATATATCATGCACTCATGGTGCAGCTGTTTATTCATTTTAGTTCACTATAAAGTTAAGTTTGCTTAATCAAATGTTCAACAACTTATACACAATGCATATTACATTGTACCACAAAACTCCGATCAAGTACTCATTTGGGTACTGTGTGTCACTTTTACCATTCTTGATTTATTACCCTTTAAAATGTTATATGCAAGCGGGGGCATCATCTGTGTCCCATGGACACATTCCCCATTTATTTATTCACAGAATTTTGAAAGGAATAAATAATACATGATTTTCACATAGATAAAACATATTGTTACAAGAATTTATACCTGTTTAGTACAGATGAAATGCAACTCAACAACAGAAAAAATAAATAAACAGCATAGATGCAGTTTTGACCTATATATACTTGTGTAAAAATAAGGAGATGGTACATGATTGCCAATGAGACAACTATCCACCAAAGTTTGAATAAAGTGGATGTAAGCAGTTATAGGTAACTGTACAGCCTTCTACAATGAGAAAAACCCATACTGTATAGTCGGCTATAAAAGGCCCCGAGAAATCTAACGGCCTAATTTATAACAAAACAAGTAGCGAAAATCAAATATATAACATACATATAAAACCAACGATTTCCATGGAAGTATTGGCTCCTGACTTGGGGACAGGCACATAAAGAATGTGGCAGGTTGAACAAGTTTTTGAGTGCTCAACCCTACCCTAACCTGGGACAGTGGTGTTACAGCACAACTTAAGAACAAACTATAAAAATCAGTTGAAAAGGTTTCATCATATTTTTATAGGTCAACTGTCTTGAAATGATTAACAAGTGATTGTAGAATTTAATAAACATCGCAATTGTCAATTGAAAAGCCAAAAACAAACAAACATCTACTATCAACATCAAATTCCTTAAAAACAAAAGCTTTAAGATACAACTTTAGATGACAGGAAAAGTCTTGACTTTGGATAGGCACATGGACTTGCAGTAGTTTCTGAAAACTCAATATTGCTCCCTTTTAAATCTTGATCAGTATTTGTAAAATGAAAAAAAGTTACATAGAAGAATGCAGGTTGCCAGTAACATTCAATTGGAGAAAGGGAAAAGATTACTCAACTCTACACTGAAATAATTTTGAAAACTATTAATGGCTATACTATCTTTATTGTAAAAAAATGTTGGAAAAATTATGTACCTTATGATCATGTTTTGTTTGAAACGTCACACAAGGCGTTTCACACAAGGCAATCAAAATGTTCAGAGGGGGAAATGAAGTTTTTTTATAAATGTCAAGTGTGAAAGTCTCAACCTATCAACATGATCAAAATTGTTGACCTCACTATTAATATTTACATTTAGCATGTACAGTGGAATAGAATGTTTTTGTTATCTTTTATTAAATGTTATTTTACTTTGCTCTTATAGGCAGGATTGAAAGGAAGAAAGAACTAGTCATCAGTAAAGAAACAGATCAATTTATATAACATGTAATAATTCCATCTGAATATAACAAACATTGCACATGTTATGAAGATTTGTTCACATGTCTACTCTGATTTGTACCCGTAGTTATGTATTTGTAATATTATATAGTACATGTATTTTATTTTAGAACAGTATTTTTTTTTCCTGTGGAGAACATCAAAGAAATTTAGAAAAATATAATTAAAGATAGTTTCTTCCATTTTTTCTGTGACAAAAAAAAAATTGTGCAAATTAGGAAAATGAAATGAGGCTATATTATTAAATATTTTTAGTTTTAGTTTTTTTTTACGTCCTATTTTAAAATTTCATTGGCATTTGAAGTAATGAGTTGAAACCAGTTTTTATCAATCATTTGTTTTTTCAAGATGTACAAACAGTACAGTAGGTTAAGTCTTTGGTGTACATTAGTTTACTATGATGTTAAGGTCAAATAAAATTGAAACTTTGTACTTACAAGTGTTCATTATGAAGTCATTTTTTTAAATAATTACAAATGAGTTACTGAACACGGAAATGTGATTGTAGACACACATCTCAATCCCATAGAGCACCGCCCTCCTCACCAGCCTCTCAGTAACCTAATGGTATATTGACTTTGAAAATTTCCTTAGTTTACACTGTAAGGTTTGTGATAAGTTCAGTTTAAGGAGAACCATTAATAGTATGTTAGGGATATTTTATTTGCAGTTGAATAAGCTTTTGGACAATGCATGTGCTTGGGGATTTTTTTTTACCTTGAACCTTCAATCATGGTCAAATAACTAAGAATCTTTTGCAAAGTTTACATGTTAAAGTTTATGCTTAGGCCAGTTTAAAATCGACCACTTATCAGAGGCGGATTTAGAGGGGGCCTGGCCCCCCCTCTTTTGTGGGACAAATTTGGTTGATTATATATAGGGAATCACTGAAGCATGACAAAAGAGATGCAGTAGAGAGCAACCTTTATATTTCTTAGAAAATACTTTTTTCGGAACTGTAATGAAAAGTATGCTTATAAACAAAATTCATATTTTTTTTCAGTTAAAGACATATTTTTTATGAATCATAATATTTCAACAAATGTTTGAAACAAATTAACATAAAAACTCTCTAAATGTATTAAAATTCTGTATTGTAAAATCTTATCAATTTTGTTTTTTTGGGATTTTTCCCAATATATGTTTAAGAAATCTGTAGCATAATTTTTACTTGTAGATTTTATTTCGGGATTTTTCCCGAAATGGGTAAAAAAAGTCTATGCAACAAGTGTGTGCTTGATAATAGATTTATATTTTCGGGATTTTTCCCGAAATGTGAAAAAAATTATTAGTCATGATTTCTAGCATATACTTTGGGTTTTCGGGATAAATCCCGAAATATTTGAAGACATCTGTGTTATACATTTTGTACTTAGTTTATTTTTGTCTGGATTTTTCCCGAAATGTGTTTCAGATCTATTTGTCAAAATGCTTTGCCAACATATATGTTATAAATAATAATGTTGAAAATGATTTCGGGACATTTCCCGAATAAAAAGTTGTCACATACATCTTTACCACAAATATTTTGAAACTTTAATATATTTTGGGAAATTTCCCGAAAATTAAATGTAAGTTTTATCAATTATATGAATAAAAACAGGGAATATTGTAAAAATTGTGTGTTTCTTTATGAAATCTGCATTCATTTATGGTAAACATTGAAAAATATTATAAAAAGGAATAAAATGGATTTTACTCTTTTAAAATAGAGTCAGTTTAACAGTAAAACTGTTTTTAAACAATTGTCTTTTGTATATAAAAAAAAACATTATCGTTTCCCCGCTTCTCATAGCAGATATAATAGATTCGATGCAAAGCAAGTAATTTAACTTTTAAATTGGGTATAATCTCTGTATTTCGTGTTTTAACAAGAATAAAAATGACCAACATTGATGGAAAAAAAATACATCAATTTCAATAATCTTCCTGCTCCTGTATCAGTTTTATTCTAATGATATATTCAAGTATTTAATCAATTCAAAATTTTAATAAAAAATATTGGTGCCCTTTGGTTTCCCGATCTTGACTTTATCCTATTTAAAGGTATAATGATATAAAAAAAAATCCCAGTACATGTATTTGTTCCAATCGAAGGCTCAAAATTTTTAAAACATTTCTTATCAAGATTAGCACTTCATTTCAAATCAAAATAATGTTGTTGCTGAATGGTGTAAAGTTAATCGTCAATATCAAACTCTACCTCCATTTTGTCATCAGTGACAACATATCAAAATTTGAAAACCTTTGGATGAAAGGTTCATAAGTCATCGCATGGAAACGACTGGAGAAGCCCGCCCGCTCGTCCGCAGTACAACAATAAATCAATAACGGGACTGGAAATCCGGTAATAAAAATAGCAAGTCATTAATAAATGTAAAATAAATCCGGTTTACTGTCACATTCGGACATCCTCATGTTTATGTCGTATACTTGTAAACTGGTGTTTGTCTTTGAGTCGCATTTTGTTTTTACTCAATGCCATCAGCGGTGCGTCAGCACTGATTTTTGAAACTTGTCAGCAACAAGGCTGATATATACCTGATATATAAGTTTTATAAAAATCTGGCAAGAATTGTACAGAGCTAACAAGACCGGACGGAAGGACGGACGCCCGGTATTTCTATGTCTACGTCCCCATCAACGCGTCGCGCGGGGACAAATATCCAACGACATCTTAAAATCATTTTGAATTTAGATTCATATTAATTTGCACTTTGGTCTTCGGGGATGGGTGTGTTTTTGGTGTTTTGAGTTAGACATGATGAACAGGCCTGGTACAAATGGTAAAAAACTCACCTTTTCACAAAGTGGGGAGACAAAACGACTCACAGACGGTTAGCAAAGGTGCCTTTTTGTGGAGGGCATATTGGTCACATAGGCGTTGGGAAAAGCACGAGAGTATTCACAGTCTTATAAGGAGTTTTTCTAACAAGTATACAAGTGTTTATGTAAATTAAAAGGGTTGCTATTTCTTTATTTGCATAAATGGAAATGTGGGATATACACAGCAACCGGCCAATTAACGACAATCAAAACCAAAGACATATAGATAACACGTGACTAATGCAGGATGGACAAATATTGTTTTACTGCTAATCTGTTACAGTAGTTTTAGTAAAGATTCGTTGGTCTCTTGAATATGAAGGTTAATAAGTATATTTAGTATAGCAAGTATTAAATCTATCAAATTACAACATCACATGTTCACAACAATAGTCATATTTAAGCTATAACAGCAACATAGTTCAGTCTCCTAGTACGTATTTGTTAGTCTTGAAAAAACTCAAACCATTATGACATAAGGAGATGTGATACGATTGCCAATTAAACAACTTTCCATCAAAGACCAAATGACGTGCATGTTAGCTTGCTATATTTGAGATCTCCCAATTACCACCCCACTATGAACTGCTATTACAAAGAGATATTTGGTCACCAAATGATTTATAATAATTTATAAAATAGAACATCATTATATATGCTAACATAAGTTGTGTTCCCTTGGCAAAATACTGGAATCATATTGTTTTACCAGTGTCCTTTCGACAGTCCGTCCCGCACTTACTAGTATATGTTTATACGGCTGATTTCGTAGGATTATGTACAGTTTTTAAGCTTAAACCTTTAAATGATGTACCTGGTGTCAGTACATACACTAAAGATTCGCATCTTGTCAATTTTTTCTTTTTTTTTATGACAGGTTGCTAAATTTGGCAGTTTGAAATATATTGCGCCGATTTATTTTTTACCTATATTGAGGGTGCATATATATTCTCAAGATCATTTTTTCTTAAATAATTTTTCACGAACGACATAATGTTGAACTCGGTGTATTTGAGTGAAATTTTGCATACACTTTGCAAGGTTTGTCCGACTAACTACGCACATAACCCACACGTTTACATCATACAGAGTATCCTTTATTTAGATTGTGTATTGTACCAGGATGTTGATTTTCTTTTTAATTTTCACAACTAACAGAATGTTTAACCTTTCTTGACTGCTGCACCAAATGTGTTTTTCAGACACAACAATTCAAATTACACTGTATCGTCCTGTAAATGCATGAAATATTTGCCACCGGACGTTGAGCAACCACCAATCAATCAATTCAAATTGTACCTCAATATCATTGTTTACCAAATTACGTTATTCTGTAACGTCACACGTTTTCTATCGAATTCTAAGCGTATCGGTCAACTTTGAAGCAATGTATATAAAAAACAAGGATGATGACATATGTGTTTATATATGTATAAAAAAATAAGAGGATGCGGTATGATTGCCAATGATACAACTCTCCACAAGAGACCAAATGACACTGAAATTTACATCTATAGGTCACTTAACTGCCTTCAACAATGCGCAAAGCCCATACCGCATAAGCTGCTATAAAAGGCCCCGAAAATTACATATGTAAAACAATTCAAACGAAAAAACTAACGACCTAATTTATGTACAAAACAATGAACGAAAAACAAATATGTTACATAGCAACAAACTGAATTACAGGCTACTTGACTCGGGACAGGAACATACAGAATGTGGCGAGGTTAAACTCGTTTAAAGGTGCCAACCCTCCCCCTAACCTGGGACATCAACTGGACCCCTGTTGTGTTCACTTATCGCTACACAAATGGTGCGAAGCTTCAGATGGAATGGCGGACCAGTTTAACCTGGGACAGTGGTGTAACAGTACAACATAAGAATAAACTGTAGAAATCAGTTAAAAAAGGCTTAACTCATCAGATGGATACAAATAGAATACATATAACAAAAACAGAGTGGACGTGGAAGGGTACTTATACATCCCAACAACTAAAAGACTTTAAGTATAGATCTTAGAGTACTCGCAGTTACTGACAGCTAGTTGAAAGCTAATAACAACTAATACAAAAAGCATGCATCTTAGATGCATGGATTCAGTATACAATCCTGGATATTATGTTAGTTTTTAGTCTTTCTCTGTATAAAAGAACAGAGCCATCTATTGAAAAATTAAAAAAAAAGATAAAACAAGGCATTTTCCCTGTGTAAATTTGTCGTCAAAATTGACGTTTCTAATCAAATTTACGAAAAAACAAAAATGGTGACCCCTATTTTTTTTTATTACATATTCCGATGTAACTCGATTCAAAGTACAAGTGTGCAAAAAAATTTAGAAATCGGGAGATATGCCATTCGGTATCGTGTTATCTTGATATATAAGTACACAGTTTTGGATTATGAAGAAAAATTGCCCAC